CTGCTCCCCACTCTGCCTCTGGTGAAGCCTCTCACCGCCCCCCCATCTCTGGCCTGTACCCCAGTGCTTGTATGCTTAAATAAATAAATAAATCTTTAAGAAAAAGCCTTGAAAGTAAAACTCGCTTGTAGTCTCGGGCGCCGGCCCCCTTGTGTAAAGAGAAGCCCTTCCTTTCCCAATGCAGGACTCTCCCTATGCAAAGTTCAGTGGCTCCCCAGTGCTTTTAGAATAAAGACTCAAATCCCCAACACAGCCACATCGCTATGGACCCCACTTTTCCTCCAACCTCATCTCACTGTGTGTCCCCTGTTCTCTGCACTGACTCGCTCTCTTAGCTCTGGTTCCCCGAGACAGGGCCTTGGCCCGTGCAGCCCCTTCGGCCTGGACCACTCTCCACTGCTCATCGCCCAGTAACTCTTACTCTTCAGACCCAGATCATGTGCCCTACTCAGGCAGAGGCTTTCCTGACCTGCCTCCGCTCTGTGATCTCGGAACAGGCCCCCTTCCAATGAGCACGCGATGGCTAGATCAATCCTGCCCCTCAAGAGGCTGTAGAACAAACCTGTGTCTGTTTTGTTCACTGTTGCATCTCCTGGGCCAAGCCCAGTGCTGGCCCAGAAATAACAACTGCTAATGTTCATCAGGTGTCTCCTCACGCCAGCATTCCTATGTGTTGACGTACATTAGCTCACGCCTTGAGGTAGCTTCTCTCAGTATTCCCATTCTGTAGCTGAAAATAACCAAGGCCCAGAGAGGTTAAGTACTCACTTAAGGTCACACAGCAACTACATGGCAGAGCCAGGGTGTGAACCCAGGTTGTCTGATTACAGAGCTGGTGTTCAATACATGCTTGATGAATGAACAAACTGTCCCAGCTTCTCCTGGCCGCCCTGCCTGCTGTGACTGTCCAACGCGGTCCAGTGCTCCTCACTGCTCCCCAACACCATCTGAGTGCTGGGGTGCAGCAGGCGCTGCAGTCAGCAGAGCCAGTGGGCTGAGGTTCCCGTCTTGGAGCTCAGTGGTAGGCTGGTGTGCAGACCAGGGACATGTATGGGCTTGGGGGGGCAGAGAGGGGCGCAGAACAGCCCTGTCTAAAGGTGTGACCCTCCTGCCCCTTGGACATCTGAAGCTTTGAGGGGCACCCTGCCCCCCACAAGCCTGCCTGCACCAGGACCTGCTCC